GTGGAGGGACGGCTCAGGAGGGGAAGACCCTCTATGAGATGGATTGATTCGGTGACTGGGGTGATCAGGATGGGTGTGTCAGAGGCAGTGCTGTTGGCGCAGGATAGAGCAGGGTTTAGGGCTGTTGTGCATAGGGTCGCTATGAGTCGGAAACGACTCGACGGCACATAACAACTACAACAACAATCTCTTTTCCTTCCATCATAGTAGTGCAGTAGGCCCAGTTGGTGTTGAGCTCTGTTGTGAGGACTGTTTCCTGTTCCAAATATACGTTTCACATAAGCACAATGAAGCACGCTGGGATTCCCATTCTCGTCAAAGTTAAAGACAGTTTGTTGTGATCTACACAATCAATGCCTTTGCATAGTCTATGAAACACAGATAGATGATATTCTTGATATCCTTCTACAGCTCATCTGGTCTTTGTTCATTGTTCAAGGCCTCAAACCCTTTCCTGAGTTTTTCAGTTTAGGTGGGACAGACTCGAGGTCGTATTTCGGTTTCTGTGTATTTGATTTGACTGTCTTTAACTTTAATTTGAACTCGCATATGAGTACTTGTTAGTCTGTTCTGCAGGGAACCCCTGGCCTACTTTTAACTACTGATACTGAACTTCTCCAACAATTCCTTCCACAGATGTAATAATTTGATTTCTATTCAAACTATCAGGTGAAACCCATGTGTATTTTCTGCATTTGTTTTTTTTATAAAAGGTATTTGCTATGAATAAATCATTAGACAGAATTGACCTAGACAATAACTAAGGATGACAGAAGAACAATTGATGCCTTCAAATTGTGGTGTTGGAGAAGAGTATTAAATAAACCATCAACTCCCAAGAAACAGATCTGTTTCTCCTTGGAGACAAAGATTTTGAATCTCTGTCTTACATACATTGGGCATCTGTCCAGGAGGGACCAGTTTTTGGAGAAGGAAACCATGCTTGAATAGGTGGAGGCACAGTGCCGAAGAAGACGACCCCAGAATAGCTGGATTGGCATAGTAACTGGGGTAATAAGAGTAGTAGATATGTCAGAGTCAGTGAGACTGATATAGCATAGAGCAAGTTTCAGAGTTGTGCTGTCAGTCACAGATAACTTCATGACATATCGCAAGAATATGTATCTAGTTGTGTGATTATTGGGTCAATCTCAGTGCTGTTTTTAAATTGCTCATGTTTCTATTTCTAACTTGGTAGCATTTTTTGTCATGTTACTGAAGTCTTACTATTATGAGAGTTTTTTTATTTTGACCGTATAGTTTTCACTGTGGCTGGTGATGCTTTTTTACTGCCAAGGAGAAGCCAACTCATATGGAATTTTGCAGTAGGTTTTCAATGACAGTAAAGTGCATGTGACCTCTAGTGGCTTAGTGGTAAGAGGCTACACTGCAATTTCAATGTTATGAAGTAAGAATCTATTAGCTTCTCTACAGTACAAGGAAGTGCAATTGTCTTGTGCAACTTAATGCCTCTGAAAATCTGCTTGAAGGATCATTTATGGGTCGATTGTGACTTTACACCATACAACAAGACCAAATTGCGTAGGACAAGATTGCCCATCTTTTTCTTGTGGAATAGCTGATGGAATAAAACTTAATCACTATACAGATTGTGTTACCAACTCAAAAAGGTTTTTGAGTTGAGTGGAGTTTCCTGCTGCTTATGAAATGGTACTGGAGTGTCAGCTATGAGTTGTTTTCAATTTCAAGGTACATATTAACAATAGCTAGTTGGAACTCTGATTTTCTAGTGGGTACAAAATGGCATTGCCAACTTAATGACAGGGGATTGAAATCCACCAGCCACTCTGAGGAAGACTGGTGGCTTATCTTCTCTCATAAGACCCACTGATGGATCAGCTTGTAAGTGGGTTTCAGCTTGATAGCAGCGAGTTAGGTAATAGTAATGATCTTGATGTAACAACAGTGAGTTATCAGAAATGATCTTCATTATCTGTTTCTTTTTGTTGATTTATCTATTTGTGTTGATTCTATTAATTTCTATAAGTTTTAGATATAAGACTCTTGTCATATGGGTCATGTCCAAATATTTTTACACTCTGCAGATTATGTTTTTATTTCTTTGAAGACGTCTTTGATACACATAAATATTTTTAAGGATTTAATTTTTATGATGTCTCAGTTGATCTATCTGCTGTTGATGTATTTTTGGTTATATTTGATACTTGTAGTAGTGTAGTGGTAGAGCCCAGTTTGAACATTATTTGAAATGAGGAAAAACAATAACAAACATCTTTTAATAATTTGAACATGGAATGTATGTAGGTTGATTGTTGGAAAACTGGAAATTGTTAGAAATGAAATGGATAATATGAATGCTAGTTATTATTGAGATGAGATGGACCAACTTTGCCCCCTTTGAATCAAATAATCATGTGTTATACTATGCAGGGACTGAAAAACAGAAGAAGAATGGTGTTTCATAGTTAGAAAGTCCATTTTAAATTCTATCCTGAAATACAATGTTGTATGATATGATAATACCCAAACGTATAATAGGAGGTCCTGTTAACATGACTATTTTCAAATATGTGTTCCTACATCTGGAGTCAAAGAGGAATAAATTAAGATTTTTTTTAAGTCTTGGTGGTCAGAAGAAAGTGACATTCACTGGAGATGCATTAATGATAATTAGCAAGTGGATGTAAAATTGGGAAATAGTGAAGAAGGAAATTGAGAAATACGGGCCTGGTAAAATGAGGCTAAAAATGAAATGATTGAATTTTATATTTAAAATTATTTATCCATTGTAAATATCTTTTTTAAAAGATAAAAATGCTGACTTTGCACATGGACCTCACCTGCTGGAATGCATAGAAAACAGTTTGATAACATTTATGGAAGAAATAGAAATAGCTGGAGAAGCTCAATATCAGCAATCAAAACTAGACCTGGGGTAGGCTGTGGGTCACATTATTAATTACTCGTATGCAAGTTCATATTGAGACAGAAGAAAATAAAAATAAGTCCCCAGGAACCAAGATACTATCTTGAATCAATTCCATTTGAACTTTAAGATCATCTTAGGAAAAGTTTTGAGGCATTTAAGACCAGTGGTTGAAGACCAGATGCGTTTTCGGGTGATATTAAGGATATGATCCATGAAGAAAGCAAAAGGTCATTACAAAAACAGAGAAGAAAGAAAACTTTTAAATGGATGTCAGAAGAGACTAAAGGACTACATTGGAGCATTGAGAAGCCAAAACAAAAGGAAAACATGCTGAAGTAAAACAGCTTAAAGGTTTCAAAGGACAGCTCAGGAGGACAAAGAAATGTGTTACAAATAAACATTCAGAGAGCTCGAAGAGTAAAAAGGGACGAACTTGCTCTGTATTTCTTCAAGCTTAAAGAGGTGAAAAATAAATTTAAGCCTTATGTTCAGTATTGAAATATGTTATGGGCAATGTATTAAATGACCCAGAAAGGATCAAAAGAAAGTGGAGGGAATACACAGAATCACTGTACCGGAAAGAAATGATTGACACTGAGAAGTTTCAGGAGGTACCATATGAGCAGGGACCAATGGTAATGAAGGAGGAAGTGGAAGCTACATTGAAGGCATTGGCAAAAACTAAGGCCCCAGGAATTGATGGAATAACCACTGATTTGTTTACAGATAGATACACTCTTAGATGCTCTCACCAGGCTATGCCAGGAAATTTTGAGGACAGCTTTCTGGCCAACAGATAGGAAGACGTGCGTATTTGTTCCCCTTCTCAAGATTGGTGATCCAACTGAACGTGGAAACTATACAATACTTTCTACAAGAGTAATATATTATAGAATAACATTTATATCACATGCAAGCAAAATGCTACTGAAGATCATTAAAAAACAAGTAGAATAATGCATAGATGGGGAACTGTAGCAACAGGTGCTTCGAGGGCACATAACAACCACCACCAATTTTTAAGCCTCGGAAACCTTTCCCCACCCCAAGATTTGATTACTGTTCTTTTAATTCTTTGTGTCCTTATATTTAGTAATATTATCCAAGTTCTAGAATTTACATGTGTTTAGTTTTTTTCTTCCTGTTGTATCCCTTCCAGTGGACTCAAAGCTGATTCTCCCATCAGATTTTTCAGAGGCAGTAACTCAGGAGATTGCCCTCATTTGTTTTGTAGAGCAGCTGGTGGATTTGTATCTCGTTCCTTTTGCCACTAGGTCATCAGAGCTCCCCTTTTTTCCCAGATCATGTTTTTTTCTATGTATGCTGTCCTATTGTTTTCTTAAGTAAAAGACATTTTGACTCCTAATTTTCCCTATTTTTCTTACTATTCCCATGCTTCGTATGTCTCTCAGTAATTTAAAATGTGGATTGGAGTTAAAGTGTATGCTTCTATTGTTTCTTCATTTTGTTTAACTTCATGACTGTTTTTTGCCTTTCCGTTTTAAAGACTGGATAAAGAAATAGGAAGTCAAAACTAGTATATATTTCACTTAAGAAAGCTTGTTAACTATTTTATTATACCTTTAAAAATTTCTTTTAGATCTGCAAAGAAAGCAGAGTTGGAAGAAAATCAGCGGAGTTATAAACAGAAAAAGAAAAGACGACGCATTAAAGTTCAGGAAGATTCATCTAGTGAAAATAAGGTACTAATGCTATGTAATAAGTAGACGACTACTTAGTAGGAGTGAAATTCACTTCCCTAAACAGCATGCCTCTGGAAACTCTATGACCTTTGACAAACATCAGTAGTTATAGAAAGGCTTCAGGCCTTTTCTTCATAGGGTTGCTATGAGTTGTGTTTGACTCGATGGCAGTCGAGAACAACAACAACAATACGATAATAAGTATGCTAGTAAGACTTTTGTGTTCAATGAATTTATCTCATCTTCCTTGCTTATTTGTGTTTGTATACATAATGCATCAGTTCATTTATTTTTTGTTATTTAAATTGTTTTTGAGGTAAGTTTATAAATCATACTGAGTTTTCACTCAATCATGCATAAATATTGTGTTTTATAAAGTTGTAATTATCCTTTCATTACTTAGTTGATAGATGTTTTCTTTTAAAACACTAATTATAATTGATAAAGATGAATGATTAATTTCAATGTGTTATCAACCATTCATGCATAATTGCTTTTCCTCCACTCAATCTGTTTATTAATTTTTCTCCCTTCTTTCTCTTTCCCTATTCCTAGTAACCATCCAAGAATGTGTGTAAGCCTGTGTATGTAATTCTTTGTGTATAAGCCTTTCCTTAGCTTTTGCCATGGTGGTCTTAAACCATAATAATCCTTTTGTGACTATGTCACTAGGCGTTATTCGTTCCAGATTCAAATATTCTATTCTGTGAAATGTTTCATGAATTCTTTCTTTGCTTGATGTTGCATAATATTTCATTTCTAGGATGTAGCGTACTTTCCTTAGGTATTTGTACTTTTATAAACACATGCTTGTTTTTATCTCTGTTTTTGTAGATAATGTTGCGATACACACATTTGTATGCATATCTGTTTGTGTCACAGCTCATTTCTTTTAAATATATACATAGTGGGATTGCTGAATTAAAGGGTATTTGCCTTTGCAACTTTATATGAAAATTCTTAAGTGCTTTATATTGTGGTTATACTAAGTTTGATTTCCACCTGTCCTGTATGAGTTGCATAGTTAAGTTAATTTAAAATAGAAATATAAGCAACTATGTCATTTGTTATCTACACCATAACTATGTCCAATTAAATTGTAGAATCTTCTGATTCATTGTTTTACTATCCTCATCTGTAGAATGTTTGCATGAGCTCTGTGTATTGTACAATAGTTACTGTGTTTAAGTTTTTGTCTGATAATGAAATTAAACTATTAAAATTTCTTCTATATAGGCACAATTACATATAGTATGCATTTCTGCTCATATTTTTAAATTTTTCATAACCATTTTTAATTGCTTAATCTTATTCTAAAACTTTTTCCTTTCATTGTTCTTCTCATACTGATTTTCAAGGTTTGAAATAATAAATTTGAAAACTTAGTAATTTTGACCTGTAATTATTTACATGGTATAGAGCAATTCTGGAGAAGAAGGAAAGGAAGAAAAAGAAGATGATGATGATGTTGATGATAATGATGATGATGAAAATGATGATTCCAAGTCTCCTGGAAAAGGCAGAAAGAAAATCCGAAAGATTCTTAAAGATGATAAATTACGAACAGAAACACAAAATGCTCTTAAGGAAGAAGAAGAGAGGCGAAAACGGATTGCTGAGAGAGAACGAGAGAGGGAGAAATTGCGAGAGGTAACAAATTTATTTATTATTTCATTTATATATTTTAGAACTTTCATAGGTTTATGAATATATTTCAGTACTAGTAATTAAAGAGTAGAATTTTTTGAATGTTGTGGTCATCCACAATTTTCTGTGACAATATGTTTTTTACACTAGGATTGTTTTATGCAATTAAAAAATTCCTCATTATTGTATATTAAAAGTTGCAGTGATTAAGTGCTTGACTGATAACTGAAAGATAAAGCAGTTCATACTCTTCAGCTGCTGAAAGATTGGAGAAAGATTTGGAAGCTTGCTCTCTTAAAGATTTTTAAAAAATATTGGTTTGTATACAGTTAGCTATTTCTATTATGTTTCTTTTAAATACATTTCTTTGTGTTCCCTTCCCCCTCCAAATCTGCAACCCTGTGGTTTCTCCTCCTTTGCCAGTTCAACCTCCCTGCTCCTTTTCCTTCATTTTTGGATATTAATGCACACTTCACTGGTTATTCTTCTCTTTTTATAATTATAGTCTTATACAGTATTTATTCTTTTGCACTTAATTTAGTTCACTCAGCATAATGTACTCTAGCATTTCACATTATGTAGTATTTTTTTCATAATTTATTGTGATTTTAACAAAAGTTTACAGTAAACTTACATTTCCATTGATTCATTGTTGCACATTTTCTTCCCTCCCCCCTCCCTCCAACCCATTTTGCTCTACACATCTCATTTTGGTCTGTTATCATAAAAATGATACCTACTCATATATTCCTTTTAAACAGTTCTTTCCCTCATCTGTTCCAATGCTGTGTTCATAATTTACCTCATTTTCTCTTAGTTTCTCCCAAACCACCAATGTCAGTCTTGGTTTATAATAATGGCATTATACAGTATTTGTCCTTTTGTGACTGATACATCAGTCAACATAATGTCCTCCAGGGTCACTCGTTTCGTGTAGTATTTTATCACTGACTGGTTTTTCAGCATTCCATTGTGTGAATGTACCACAGCTTCTCCATCCATTCATTTGTTGATTGGCACTTGGGTTGTTTCTATATCTTTGCTACTGTGAAGAGTGCAGAAGTAAACATGGGTATGCATATATCTGTTTGGTTGGAAGGTCTGATTTCCTTAGGGTATATTCCAAGTAGTGAAATTGCTGCTTAAAATGGTATTTCTTTTTTTAAAAAAAATTTTATTGTTAATTTTAATGAAAATTTACAGATATTTTGGATTTCCATTCATTCATTGTTGCACTATTCTCCCTGCCCACCCTCCCCTCCAGTTCATTCTTCTCTTTGAAAAGTAAAAGAAAAACTTTTTCATTGTTACACAATCCCTCCTCCAAGTCCACTCCACTGTGCAACCTTTGTTCTAGACTCCTGTCATGACAATAATAGCTAATCATATATCCCTTTTAACAACTTCTCTCTCTCATCTGTTACAATGCAGTATACATAATTTATCCCATCTTTCTCATTCCCCACCAACCCCGATGTCAGTTCTGTTTTACAACAGTGGCACTATACAGTATTTGTCCTTTTGTGACTGAGTTATTTCACTCAGCATAATGTTTTCCAGGTCATCCATTTTGAATAATATTGCACAAGTTCCTTGTTTTTTAATGCAGTGTAGTATTCCATTGTGTGAATATACCATGGCTTCTCTATCCATTCGTTTTTATGGGCACTTAGTTTGTTTCCAGCTCTTTGCTATTATGAACAATGCCGCAATAAACATGGGGTGCATATATCTGCTTGGGTGGTGCTTATGGTTTCTTAGGATATATTCCCAGTAGTGCAATTGCTGGGTCAAATGGTATTTCTAATCGCAACTTTTGGAGAAAGTGCCATACAGCCTTCCATACTGGCTGCACCACTCCCACCAACAGTGAATAAGGGTTCCAGTTTCTCCACAACCTCGCCAGCATTTGTTGTTTGCTGTTCTGTTCAGTTTTGCTGTTCTTAATGTGGTGAGTTGATATCTTATAGTTGTTTTAATTTGCTTCTCTCTTAGAGCTAGTGATTTTGAAGATTTCTTGATGTTCTTGTTGGCTATCTGAAAGTCTTTGGTGAAGTCAATATCCTGTGCCCATTTTGCAGTTGGGTTGTTTACCTTGATCTTGTTGTGATGCTCAACTGTTTTATAAATTCTAGATATAAGTCTCTTATCTAACATGTCATTACCAAATATTTTTTCCCAGTCTGTGGCTTCCATTTTTGCTCTGTTTGAGAAATTTTTAGATGTGCATAGGAATTTGATTCTTAGAAGGTCCCATTCAATTTTATCCTCTCCTGGTTGTAGATTTTTTAGGATGCTTGGAAGACTGTTGATGATGTGGATTAGCTCGTCTAAGAGTCCTTCCAAGGTTTTCTTTAATGAAATTTATAGTCCTTGGTTTTAGTCCTAGGTCCATGATCCATTTTGAGTTGGTTTTTATGTATGCAGTGAGGTGTGGATCTTTCTTGCATTTTTACAGATTGTTTTCCAATTTTACCAGCACCATTTGTTAAAATGTTGCCTGATTCCATCTTTGTTAAAAATAAATTGACCATCTATAATGGGCTGATATCTGGATTCTCTATTCTATTCCATTGATCTGTGTGTCTGTCATTGTACCAGTACCACACTGTCTTGACCGCTGTGGCAGTGTAGTAGGATTTGAAATCAGGGAGTGAGATACCACCCACCTTGTTTCTCTTTTTAAGAAGTGCTTTGCTTATTCGAGGTCTCTTTATATTCCAAATGAAATTGGAGATTGCCTTTTCCATCTCTTTGAAGAATGGGATTGGTATTTGTATTGGGATTGCATCAGGATTGCCTTTGGTAGTATTGCCATTTTCACAATATTGATTCTTCCTATCCATGAGCAAGGGATATTCTTGCACTTTTCAAGGTGTCTTGTTTCTTGTAATAATGTTTTGTAATTTTCTTTGAATGGATTCTTTGTGCTTCTGGTTACATTTACTCCCAAGTATTCAATCATGTGAATCTACATTCTCTTTGTCACTGTAGAAAAATCCAACTGATTTTTGTATTTTGATCTTGTATCCTGCCACTTCGCTGAATTGGCCAACTATGTCCAGTAGTTTTCTTGCTGAATCTTTAGGGTTTTCTAAGTATACTATTATATCATCTGCATGGAGAGATAATTTTACCTCGTCTTTGCCAATTTGGATACCTCTTATTTCCTTCTCCTGTCTTATTGCTATTGCTAAGACTTCCAATACAATGTTGAATAAGAAAGGTGGTAGTGGTTATCCTTAACCAGTTCCTGTTCTCAAGGGGAATGCCTTTAATCTCTCTCCATTGAGAACAACAGTGGCTCCTTTTTATTGTGTTGAAGAAATTCCCCTCTAATCCTTTTTTGTTTAGTGTTTTAATCAGAAAAGGGTTTTGATTTTGTCAACGGCCTTTTGTGCATCAATTGATAGGATCATGTGGTTCTTTTTCTTTGCTTTGTTAATGCATGAATTACATTAATTGTTTTCTTTATATTGAACCATCTTTGCATACCTGTTATAAATCCCACTTGGTCATGGTGAATTATTTCTTTGCTGTATCTTTGAATTCTATTGACCAGTATTTTGTTGAGGATTTTTGCATCTATGTTCATAAGAATTATTGGCCTATAGTTTTCTATTCTGGTGGTGTCCTTTCCTGGCTTTGGTATCAAGGATGTGTTTGCTTCACAGAATGAGTCTTGCAGAATTCCATCTTTTTCTGTTTCCTGAAATAGTTTATGTAGAATTGGTGACAGTTCTTCCCTGAATGTTTGATAAAATTAACTTGTAAAACCATTTGGTCCAGGGTTTTTTTTTTTTGCTGGAAGTTGTTTTATTACCTTTTCAGTTTCTTCTTTTGTAATGGGTCTGTTCAGGTGTTCAGTTTCGGTTTTTGTCAGTTTAGGTAGGTTCTGAATTTCTAAATATTTGTCTGTTTCCTCTAGGCTTTCATATTTGTTCTAGTTTTCCATAATACTCTAATGTTAACCCTTTTATTTTAGCTCGTTCTGTTGTTACGTTGCCCGTTTCATCTCTTATTTGGATTGTGTCTTTCTTTTCTTTTGTTTGTTTTGCTAGCTGTTTGTCGATTTTATTGACCTTTCAAAGAACTAGCTCTTAGTTTTGTTTATGGTTTCAATTGTTTTGGTTTTCTATTTCATTTATATCTGCTCTAAATTTTATAATTTCCGTTTCTTTAAAGGGTGTCATCTTTTCTTTCTTTTATTTATCAATTTGTTGGAGATGTTGGGTTAAAGAGTCAATGGTCATTTTTTCCTGCCTTTTGATGTGTTTGATTATGGCTGTAACTTGACCTCTGATTACTGCTTTGGCTGTTTCCCAGAAATTTTTGGTACGTGATGTTTTCATTGTCATCTTTTTGAAGCAACTTTTAAATTTCAGTTTTTATTTCTTCTAATACCCACTCATGCTCATGTGTTGTTCAACTTCCACATGAATGGTTTTTCCTTCTTTATCCTTTTATTATTAGTCTGTATTTTGTAGCATTGTGGTCTGAGAAGATGCTCTGTAGTATTTTTATGTTTTTTTAATTTATTGACGTTTGTCTTGGGACCTAAAATGTGATCTATTCTGGAGAACATTCCATGCACATTGGAGAAGACTATATACTGTGCTTTATCGGGGTGCATTAGCCTATAAAAGTCTATGAGATTCAGTTGGTTTATTGTGTGGTTTAATTTTTCAGTATCTTTGTTGAGTTTCTTTTTGGTAGTTCTATCTTTTCTTGAGAGCTGTGTACTGAAGTCTCCAGGTACTATAGTAGTTGTCTATTTCCTTTTTGTGAAAGTCTTTTAATATATTTTTCAGGTCTTTTATTTAGTGCATAGATATTAATTATTTTTATGTCCTCTTATTCTATTGACCCTTTTAAGCATTTTGTAGAAAACTTCTTTGTCCTTTGTAATGGTTTTTGCATGGGAATTTCTTTTATCAGAGATAAATACTACGACTTCTTTTTTTTTAGTTGCCATTGGTTTGATACATTTCCCCCACGGTTTT